TTAGAGTCTTTCGATTCTATATGATCAGTGAGATTCAGTTGTCGTAGTAGTTTTGTTTTGTTTTCAAGTACTATATTCTGGATTGCTTTGAGCTCATAAAGAAACTATTGTGCTAATTTTTTATATATATTAGCAGTTTGATATTTTCAAGCATTGTGTTATTGATCATTGTTGCTTGATATATATTTTAAAGTAAAGAAAACTAAAGTTTAAAGTAAAGAGTTTCAAGTTAATCGTAAAGAAACTCGAATTAAAGACAATGGTCCATAGAGTCATAAAGGTTAAAGTAAAGAGACTCTTAAATTTGTGCAGAAGCTGAATATGATTGGGCATCATATTTGAGGCTTTCGTTCTGGACTAAAGGTGATGGTTTTCACATGGCGGATGCCGGTAAAAGTTTCAGAACGGCATACACGTTTGTGTATGTTGCAGAGGACACTTAAGGGCGTACATCGGATTTGACCATAAGGGATGTACGGCTCTATTACACTCCACTAAAACCACCATAAGGAAAATGTCTTTAGAACATTAGTGGTACTAGCGGTTGGACCGTGGAGTGACCTTGTGCCATATTAGAGCATATAGTGTTTTCACGATCAACCATTAGTGGTACTTTTGTTTCAAGGAAAAGGTTTCGGAAACTATCCTAATTAGAATCATGGCAACAAGTTGTTTTCTAAAATAAATGGGTGCGCACCCGACTTTAAAAGTTTTTGAAAATTTAAATGTTTTTGAAAATTAAAATGAGGTATGTTGTGCCAAGTGGGAGATTGTTGGGTTCGATTAATCCAACGAACCCATGTGGCCCAACCTACTCGATTTTGGATTTGATTTAAAGTTGCCATGGATTCAAGTTAGGATCAGGATGCTAACCACATGGCCTGGTTAGATAAGTTTCATGTTTATCAAGTTGGGTGGTTATCTTGAATATCTAAAGGATAGGATCAACTGGAGTGTAATCCCACGGTTGTGATTAAACCATGATGTGTAGGGTTAATCACAAATATCTATATAAAGGGTGGGAGTCCCTCCTCTCAACCGTACGCAGTAAAGAGACCTAATTCCCATCATTGGCTACGGGAGGAGAGAGGAGAAGACTTCCATTGTTTCGACGGTGAACGGTAATTTAATCTGTTATTTTCTAGTTCAATTTTCATGCCTAGATCATCAAATTATCCAACACTCGTTACATTTGTTTTCTCAGTTTCTTATTTGCTTCTCTGATTCTTATTGCTTTAGGCCCTACTACTATTAACGGACGCGTCTCTGGGCTCACTCCAGGGCACCATGGGTTTCATGTTCATGCACTTAGTGATACCACTAACGGGTGCAACTCAACCGGTTTGAGTCTTCTTGTTTTTCCCCCTTTTTCTTTCAATTTTATTTATACTCTTCAGTTATTTGTCAGTATGGTGCTCTTTCATTCAGGTCCTCATTTTAATCCTACTGAAAAAGAACATGGAGCACCTGAAGATGAGGTGAGGCATGTTGGCGATCTTGGAAATTTGAATGCAGGGAAGGAAGGTAATGTCTCAAGCGATATGTGCTCCCCAAATTTCAGTTAGTTACAGCAAGTAAATTATTGAAATTGTTATACTGACCGCATGTTGTAGCCTACTTGGCATTTACCATATTTTATAATTAGGGATAGATATCGATCCACTATTGTGCTACAGGGGTTAAGTCAGTTCTCATCCTTAAAATTTTTATTAGCACTTCGACATCCTTGTTCTAAGATAGAGTTATCCACTTTTAATCTGTGCTCGTCGCATGGGTGCATGATTTCAGTGTGCTACGGAAAGACCCTCTATTCTCTTACTGGTGTTGCGCATACATGCCTTATAGTACAGGTATATATAAAGAAGAGGTTAATTGCACATAGACCCTCTCAGGGGCGTAGCCAGAGCTTGCTTGCTGCCCAGGGCAAGAAACTCCGCCTATCCCACGACCTCTCCCTCCTCCCCTCGCCTCCCCTCCTCTCCCACCACTTCACCTCCCTTTGCCGCAGATCCAACCTCCTCTTCCAGGACCTCCATCTCAACAATCCTCAGCCCTCCTCCCTCTCACGCGCCTCCCTCCTCTCCCTCACGACATACTCGTAGACCACGTTTATTTTTTGCCCAGGGCAAAAAATAATCCTGGCCATGCCACTGGACCCTCTATAGTATTGTTGGTTGAATGTACAACCCCTGTAGTTCTATTTTGGCAGATAGACCCCTGGGTGTCAGATACTCACTAATTTCATGCAGGGTAATATCTGTTTAAATTCCACCAAAGAGTTCAGCTAACGGGGTTATCTTCAAAAATGAAACCACATGGGCAGTAAGTTAAAACTAGCAATACTACAGGAGTCCATGTCCAATTAACCTATACAGAGAACACAAGTCTATTTGTACATTGTGGGGTCTAAGTTGTTGTCAAAAAGTTATCGAATATAAGTGAGTGACCTTGGATCTGCAATTAATCCTTTTAAGCTAACATGATGCGAACTGGATCTTGGTAAAATGCTTATCATGATCTGAGAGAAAATTAAGTTGTCTATCTTGTATGCTGCAAAGAACAAAAACTTCGATTAATAAAAGTGATTATTGGTTCTTTCGCTGTTTCAGGAAATGTTGAGTTTAATATTGTCGACAAGCAGGTCAGCTATGTTATTTTGCTGTTTCCTTGCGTTCCTTCTAATTTCTTCATATTCTATATGAGGTTTGTTAACCTTTTCATATTTATATGAAGGATTCACATGTTTATCTTTGCAGATTAAGCTGTCAGGACCGCACTCGGTCATTGGAAGGGCTATTGTTGTGCATGCTGATTCTGATGATCTTGGAAGGGGTAAATTAACACTATTGATTACTTCGCATTAATCATTAATTATTGCTATATATTGAGTAAGTTATGTCCGAAGCTGGTAAGGGTTGACATTTAGAAGTGGTCATGCTTATAACAAGGTCTGGTTGCGGATAAACGTCCTGTACTGTCACCTAACTGCAGATAGACCCCCTTTAGCTCTATTGGTGCTGATATACTTCCTGTACTATTCGCCAAAGTGAGGACAGACCCCTGAGCGTATTTCCCCCCCCATTTTAAAGGTCAAAAGAAGTTTTACTCAGGGGGGTATATCTACAACTGGGCTATATAGTACAAGGGGCCTATCTTCAATTAACCCTAATATTAATGATGGTGAAAATGTTCAATTATCTCCCTTTTTACGGAAGTGCGAGGCCCTTATTTAATTAAAATTCAGGCATTAATGTCCAAGGGATTATTCCCTACCCTATCTAGATCATTTGTGCTAGATGCATTCACAATAGAAAACATGGGGAAGTTGGCACAAGTTCTCAAGTGTGACGGTCGTGAATTCAAGGCTTGCGAATTTTGAAACATTAAAACAATCTAATGGAATTGCATCAGAAATAGTTATTCTCCTGTTATCTGGTGTAGTCTAACAAAGATGATTTTATATGTTTACAGGTCGACTTGAGCTGAGCAAAGAAACAGGAAATGCAGGAGAAAGAATTGCATGTGGTGAGATTTTCTAATATACGTATTGAGTTTGTAACCTTCATGTTGAATTTTCTCGTGTCTCTTCTACCTTGCATTTACTTTGAACTTCCTGATGTATAATTAAGCATTCGCCTATATGTAAATGTTGCTCACTTCTGTTCCGTACGTTTTCTCCTCATTTCCAGGCATCGTAGGGCTCCAGGGTTGAATGGTGTCGATTCTGGATTTTACCAGAGCATCTGTGTGTTAATCTGCGTAGCGTATGTTTCTGTGTATGTTACTAATATGTTTCTGTGTATGTTACTAATATATGTTTCTGTGTATGTTACTAGTATGTCAGATGTCTAGGCTCAACTTATCAGTTTGCGTGTATGTTGGTATCAGTGACTTGTACTAGTTACTTGCATGCTATATGCTCCCTCTTTTCCTCAATTTCTATTCACAGCTGCTATTCTGATTGTAATCAAAATGCAAATAATCCGATCTCCTAGCGAAAGTAGATTTTTGTATGATCTAGTGGATCATCATGGGAGCATGGAGTATACAATACAAAGTATATCAAATGCAAGGGATGCAATAAACTTTAGATGAGCACAATTTTGAGGACACCTGATGTGAATGGAAACAGATAAAACTCCACCTCGAAGCTCTGATCAAATGCATTTTTTTTCATATAACAATTGTATATTTCACTGCAACCAATATTAGAGCTAGGAGTCTGAATAACAACGTCAATTATAAAATAATTAATGGAAATAATACTAATATTATAGCCACGGAGGTATATTTACCTGCTAGGAGAGTCCACAGCACTGATTCCTGGAGGCCTCATTACTCTCCTAATATTCAACTTCCATGATATGCACGTAAATTCGCTAATGTAACAAAAAAACAGAATCTTCAAACAAAATAGATTATTTGCAGTTAATTTACCCCATTTCAATACCCTTATATCTGCGATCACCTGTTAACGTTGGAAAACATAGAGGTATCAGTAGAAAAAAATCCCATATGTGCTGAGCTTTTAGTTCCCTGCCTGGAAAAATGAGACATTCTTCATTTCTCTCATCAATCTCCACAGAATAAGCACGAGAAGAAATCACAGATAAGTTCCTCTACTAATTTTGAAGATAACATGTTCAGATCTCAAAAAGTATCATGGGTATCAACAGTCAATTCACCTGCAACTTTAATATGATCAGATGATGTCAGATTCAGATTCCAAAAAAAAAAATTTTTTTTTAACTTTCCAACTTTTTAATTCCTCTACATGACTTTGAATCTTACTTTCAGAAGAGATGGGGAACTGTTAAAACTTTCCCGATATGTTAGCCACATAACGGAATAATATCACGGATTAACGAAAAGAAAGAAAAAACACCTAAAAACATAGGGGTTTAATGAGTTTCAGTAATTAATATGACAAAACCAAATTCGAATGTGTTGCTTCCCGGAACCCCCCCCCCCTCCCCCCCCCCCCCAAATAGGCCGGGTTCAATTCTACGACCGGGTGCTATTTACTCTTCATGAATCAGGCTTCAGAAACAGCACAAACACTGAGCATACTCTTCAGACCACTCTTGCATTGATTGTGCCGAGAATGTTTTTAATTTCTCGACCTTCTCTTGAGGGTAAATGTAGACCTTCCATTTTTTATTATTTTTTCCAATAGAGCCCTGTAGATAAAAGTAAAACCGCATTATATTATATCATAATAAAATTAAAACATAGTTCATGTGGTGGGCAATTCATATAGGAACATAGCGCTACATTGAACAAAATTTGAAAGTTGTTATCAGTATTTAAATACTTATGTATCAGATTGATTTCTCTACTGACATGATGCAGCTCGTGCTTGTTGGTTTAGACTAATTTTAGGTTTATTTGCATATGATGGATAATATGCAAGACTATCTACTCGAAGGCCTTGATTTTTGTGAATGCTAGCTCATGATCAAATTGCTTCCTAACTTCTATTTAAGATCCATCTCACTCTTTAATCAAGGTCAATGAGCTGGTTAGATACTTTTAGTATTTAGATCCAGTTGATATTATGAGATATTGTGAGATGTGATATGATTTTATCTCACATCTATTTTGTAATATCTTCTGGTCTCTATTTAAGAGAGGTTAGGGTTAGCTGAATTCTCTGCATGGTATCAGTACCTTCTTGATTCTAGATAGACCTCTTTGTTCTTCCTCGACCTTGGGGTCGCCGAGAGGGTTTTCACCACCTCCATGCTTCCCCATGGTAGCTTCGACATCTTTAGTTCCGACAACTACTTCGTGATCAACAATTCCTAAATCCTCATAAAAAACCCTTTTTTTAAAATCTATATTCCCCAGAGTACTGTTCATCACGTGAACACTAGCCTCTGTTCATTACGTGAACAGAAGTTAAATTCCTGTTTACCATGTAAATAGTAGCAAGTTATTGTTTATCTGTGCCTCATTGGCCTCATTGCCGATTGACTCTGATGATCGTCACTGCTTCTTCTATGACTTTGTCTCCAGTTAAAGTCATCTTTCTAATGGAAGAACGCTAAAATCAAGATCGAGCGACTAAGCGACCGATTGATCAATCAAGGGTTTTTCTTTGTTTTATTGGCGTACCCACCTAGGGTGTTTCTATTGACCTATCCGCTTAGGGTGTTTCTACTGGTGTACCTGTCTAGGGTTCTTTTGGCAGTAACTACACAAGTCATTCTATTTTCATTTGTTAGTTGGACATTTGTAGTATATATATGTTCCAGTTTAGGGGGAGGGGGTGTTACACATTATTAGTATTTAGATCTATCGGATATTATGAGATATTGTGAGACCTATCATATATTATGAGATATTGTGAGATGTGATTAGATATGATTTTATCTTATATCTATTTTGTAATACCCTCATAATCTTTATTTAAGAGAGGTTAGGGTTATATGAATACAAACTTTACCTTTTCTATTTCTTTACAGAGCTTAAATCGAATTTCCTCTGTTATGTCCACCCCATTATTTTATAAAATGAAAAAAGTTGCCTCAGTAACCTACAATATTCTGATTTAAGATTCAGGATGCAGTTACAAATACTATACCTGTCGGCTGTCAATGATGCAGTTTGCACTTGCAGGTTTCAGAAATACAAAATTTGAAAAGCTAGTAGCTTCCATGGCATCGTGTGGCAGCAATCAATTACAAAGGCTTGATTCAAGGTAATGTTTGATTTGGATTTTCAATTTTAGAGCTTTTGAAAGCCTGTCAAGTGAACACAATTAATTGAAGTGATGCATATACTAAGTGAAAAATTCTTCAAGGTACTTACGACCATGCATAATCTCCAAGCATAAGTTCCTTATAGCCATTAAATTTCAATAAGTCCACTGACCTCCCAAGTGCACTTCCCTGTTCATGAACCTAAATTCAACCCCAAAAATATCAATAATCATTTGATCATTTATCAATAAATTTGATATTTACTCGAAACCATACCATTACCTTGACGCAGCTACGAGCAACAATTGGGTGAATCAAGCACGATTTCTGATTGACACTTCCAGAACCCCCAGCTTGCTGGTACTTCCACTAGATGCTCAGTTCAAGAACTTCTCCGCTAATGGTTTCTGAATTGCACCAAAATTGGCCAAATGAGGAGACATAGAGCTCACTGGAATTGTTGAAAATGACACAAAAGAGCTTAAGTACTTGATTTGTTTTCTTCATGAAATGTCGTAAACCTTTCTGATTTTTTTCATGGATGATTTTAGATATAGTTCTACACAGTAATTTTAACTTTACTAGAGAGCATACCTAGGACTTTGTGCTTCTGATAAATGATATAATTAAAAGTTTAGATCTTGATTGCATGTCAGATGATTAGATCTAAGAATTTTTTAGTTCTAGAAGCCTGATCTGTTGGTCTACAATATGCAACTCCCATGTTCAAACTATGGGGTTAGCAGATAACTTCAAAACTTCAGATGCAGTAGTTTGTTCGTTTCTATAAAGGGTTTGTTTTCTGTAAACTGTGAACCAAATCAGAAGTCAGAAAACTAAGTTATATGTAATTATTACAGTCTCAAGAAAAACCTAAAGGAATAACAATAAATAAATAAAAGGTGATCATTTGGAGTAACCTTTGAGCCTTGACATTTTTTTTTAATTTTTTGTCCCTGGGGTGTAAGGTTTTTTATGGAATCGCCAAGGAAGAGGTAATGAGGCTTGATCAAAGCATCAGGTGGTATCGGGAAGTGGGTTTGTGGTAGCAAACCAAATGGTCACCATTGTATTTGAGAGATTACCCTGGATACTATTTTATAGAATCCCAATTTACTATCTAACAATGTACCTGAGGGGGAAATGCATGTACATAAGACTGAATGAATTTTCTTCGTTTGATATCATGGAATTATTGTGCATACGTACTTTCCTCGTAAATCAATTATGTTATGATGAATTTTGAGATGGTTGTTTGAAGGCAGATGGTATTCGTGGACATTCATCACATAAAAAATCATGGTTCAATGTATGTAATTAACAAAATGTTCAAATTACGATTCACTGTACCATAGGGGGAAATATATGCAAATAAGAGTGTGAATGAATTGTCTTCATTTGAAGTCATGAAGACATTATGCATAAATACTTTACTTGCAAATAGATTGTGTTACAATGAATGTTGACATGGTCATTTGAATGGAGATTGTATTCATGAAAATTTTCGCACAACGAATTACGGTTCAATGTATATAATTAAGAAAAATGTACAATATGATTCAATGTCTAGGGGCGGAAGGCATGTACATAAAGTGTGAATGGATTGTCTTCATTTGATGTCATGAACATATATTATGTGTCACGCCCCAGACCTGGGGGCCCATTGGCGCGGTGTGCAAGCCGTGTGACCCACTGAGTGTAACGCGTTGTTTGGCTCAATCCACTGCCAATATCGACTAGCCAATGTTACACTTGAGTCTTGGGCTTACCTATTTAAGCCACACGATTTCACTGTAAATTCCCGATGTTGGCCTAAAGTTGGGGTCTCACATTATGCATAAGAACTTGCCAATGGCAAATAGATCGTGTTATGATGAATGATGATGTGGTTGTCTGAATGGAGACTGTATTCATGAAAATTTGTCACACAACAAATTATGGTTCAGTGTGTGTAACTAACGGACATGTTTTAACATTGCAATTAATATCTCTCATTTTTAAGTTATGTTCACGTGTGAATACAACAAAATGAATTCATTTACTCAAAAGTAGGCTACAATAAATAGATCGCTCTCTAATTTCACTCACCCAATCTGCAAATATGTCTAGAGAAGATATGCATCGTACATCTTACTAAAATCAACATTATCATTGAGATCAGACTCTAGAAAACCCTTAACGTTGAAATAAATTTTAAGGAAAACAATACAAGAAAACTATAGCAACCCAGGTCAATTACCTACTAGGAGCCTCGACAAGACTGATTCCTGGCAACTTCATCAATCTTCTATCTCGAATCATACTTCTGATATCTTCAGCACAATTCCACATTCCATGATATGCATATAAGTTTGACAATGCAACATAATAACCACTATTCTCAGACTCTAAAGAAAATAGTTTCTCTGCAATCAATTTACCCATATCAATATCACCCTTATCCCTACAAGCACTCAACAAAGCTCCCCAAACTTCTGACTCTGCTTTGCTTCCCATCTCCTTGACAAACTCATAAGCCTCATGAATCCTTCCAGCTTTGCCAAGCATATCAACCATCAATACACGATGCTCAATTGTCCCCTCGAGGTCAAACTCCTCTACCATTAGCTTATAATGTTTCCATCCCTCGTCAATTAGTCCACAATGGCTACAAGCTGATAAAATAGCAATGAAAGTGCTTTTTGTAGCTTTAATACCAAGATCAGACATCTTGCTGAAATGTTCTATGGCTTTTTGACCTTGCCCATGAAACCCATATGCTGATATCATAGAATTCCAAGATGCAGTTGTTTTTTCTGCAGAACTTTCAAATACCCTTTCTGAAAATTCAAGTCTACCGCATTTGCTATACATATCCACAAGAGCTGATGCAATAAATATGTTATCACAAAATCCAAAACGAACAATGTAACCATGGATTTCTCTACCAAATCTAAGATTTCCTAGATGAGTACAAGCACACAGAAGACCAACAAGGGAGATTTCATTTGGTTGAATACTCGTCATTTTCATTTGGTGAAAATATTCTATTGCCTTCCCACCATCTTGATTTTGTGCAAATCCACATATCATGGAACTCCATGAGCATAAATTCTTATCTCCTTCAGGTTGAAACACCAATTCAGAGCTCAGGGGGTCTCCACATCTAAAATACATTGTTATGAGTGCATTTCTCACTCTAACATCTGACCCTATAGGACTCTTCAGAACAAATCCATGAAGTGACTGGCCATAGGACAAAAATTCAAGATTCCCAGAAGCCGATAGAGCACAGGACATCGTGATAGGATCAGGGTCTAAGTTTAACATTTCATACATAAACTTATAGGCTCCAAGTGCATCCCTATAATGCCCGTTCTTGACATAGCCAGATATGATTGTATTCCATGAAACAACGTCTGATGCAGGTAAAATGTTTTCTAATAGTGCCAATGAAGCTCTTAGGTCCCCACAGTATATGTACATAAGCATAAGGGCATTGACAGCCGAGATTATGTTTCCAAACCCGTACTTGAGCTCCCAACAATGAACTGGTTTCCCAAAGGTAAGATCTCGAGGACTAATGCAAGAAGGCAGGATGGCTAATAGAGTAGCAAGGGTGCATCTCTGACCGTTTTGAAGTAACTCTCTGAACATAAGCTTGGACTCTTCTGCATAAAGTTCAGAGCTTGAATACCCAGAGATCATCGTGTTCCATGTTACCAAATCTTTACTAGGCATTCTACTGAACAACAGCTCTGCTGAAACTAAATTATCACATTTCAAGTACATATCAAGTAAGGTGTTAGCTACTGGTAGACTAGACACCCAAATACCTTTTCTAATAGAAAACCCATGAATTGATTTGCCTTGATGAATTAGGTTAAGCTCACCACAAACGGGTATAATTGTTACAAGTGTAATGGCATCAGGTTGGGCTTTATATGCCGATTGCATTGAAAAGAAAAGTGTCAGACCTTCATCTATCCTTCCATTCTCTATCAAGCATTTGATCATAGAATTCCATGAAATCGTATTCTTTGTGCCAAGTCCTTTAAACACTTTATTTGCTTCTCGTACATGTTCACATGAAGAATAGAAGGAAATCAAAGAATTAGCCACCGAAGAATGTGCTATTCCTTCATACCCCAATTTGATCACCCAAGAATGCACTGACTCCCCAAAACCAGAGAGCTCTTCCAAACAAGAACATGCAGATATCACAGAAGATAGACTCATTTGGTCTGGCCGAACATCTGAGCAACACATTTCTCGATAAAAGAAGGCTGATTTCACCGGAAGATCGTTATAAAGGCATCCATTGGTGATCGAATTCCAGGAAGTGGCATCTTTAACTTCCATTTCCCCAAACACAAATTCTGATCTCCTCAATTCCCCACATTTTGCATACATATCAATCAAAGCATTGCAAAGGTACACATTCCCCTGAAGCCCTCTTTTTACAACAAAACCATGCAGCATTAAACCATGTTTCAAGTTTCGGACACGGGTCAAACCCGAAATCATAATGACAAGAGTAGTTGAATCGAACTCCCCAAGCCCAGCAATCATTTCTTTGAAAAGGTCGATTGACAGATCAAACTGCGAGTTAAGGACGCAAGCAGTGATAATGGCATTCCAAGAGATCAAGTCACAGGAGGACACGGACTCATTGAACAGAGCCAGCGATGAATCGAGGTCACAGGCTCTCGCATAAGAGGTCAGTAAAGACGTTCGGAGGGAGATGTCGGCGAGAGCATTGGTCTTAAGGGCGAGGGAATGTGCCGAGGCAATGACAAGGAGATCAGTTGGGTTTTGTTTTAAGAGGCTGAGGGGGTGAGAGATGAAGGAAATTCTCTGAGGCATTTCGTCGAACGCGTTGTGGGGGTATTGGGAGTAGTGTAAGGCATGGAGAGAGTTAGAGACGAGGGATGAGGATTGGTTTAACACGGATCTAAGAGGGAAGGATGAGATTGGAATTGTTTTGAGGGATTTCAGCATTTACTGTTTTTTGTTTGGTTACCGTTGGCTTCTCTGTATTCAAATTTCGTGAGGCTAGGCTCCATGAGACTTCTCCGGTATCACCTGAAGGATCAACTAGAGCATGCGTACGTTGCCAGAAGGAAAGAAGGAACTCGAGTTATTGGATTTTTATTTTTAAATCTTTTTTGTACGGTGTTTAATATGTTTTTATATAAGCAAGATATATAGTTTTAGAGAAATTAAGATTACTAAATGACTCAGTGGGTATAAAGGGGTTTGGGAATTTTATGTGATCTTGCAGGGAAATGTCCGAATAGATATGGTATTGTTAGGAAATATCAGATACGCTCTGATACCCGTTGTTGGGGATTCAAGCTACCAAACGTTGGTACAACTGTTCCTTAGCTATTCGATCACCTGTCAAATATGAACCCTCTGTGAAATTTGTCCTACCGGATCTTGTGTTAAGAAATGGAAAAAAGAAATCACAACAAATCTAAAATAGCAAGAACAGAGAACACCGAGTTTTAACGAGGTTTGGCAACTTGCCTACGTCCTCGGAAGCCACACAAATAATTTCCTTTATATTAAAGAAGATTACAAAGCTTGTAAAAGAGTAGATCTCAACTTGAGATCTCTCAAGAGAAGAACCAACAGAAACTCCTTGTTGTTCTAAAAGGCGCGAGTTTTTCCAACTAAAAAAACTCCTCTCTCTTCAATAAATCGCTACAGGAACTCTGATTTAAATGAATAGGATTTTCTTCTAAAAATCTCGTGCTCAAATAATGGCCGCCACCAGAGATAATTGCTGAGAAGAAGAAAAAACGGAACAGCGACGCTATTCTCGTGCTCGTGAGTTTCCCTTAAATAGGGAAACCCTAGCCTACAGATGGGTCCAGTTGTCTCCCACAACAAGCAGGCGAGCTCCGCCTTTTGCCTCCATGTCCGCAGTAGGCGGGGCCTCTCTCCACACGTAGCGGCTCCACACCCTGCTCGAGCTCGCTGTCTTCTGTCAATCCCGCCTGCAATCGACAACTCAGATCTCGCTTGTAGAAAAGCCCGTCTACAGCTCATCAACGATCTCGCCTGTAGATCTCGCGTCGACCCAACCTCGCCTGAATCTGGGGTTCGAGCACGCTTGCCTGGAGCACTTCTCACTCGAGTTCGCCGATTGGACCTCGAGTTCGCCTGTAGCCCTCTGCGAGCTCGTCTGAGCTCATCTTCTCTGTTCGACCTCGCCGGAGGTTGCCGACGACGGGGATAAGGTATGGGTCTACACCCCTTTTTTCAACAATTCCCATTTGGAGACCAAACCGCCATCATCAAGCTCTCTCTTAACAAGTGTCTTCTCATGTGTGTCTCCGCCCTCATCTCCTACATATGAAGGCCAACTGAAGTTGCGCACAACTCCTGTTTCTGAACAGTCACTGCTTTAGTCAACATATCTGCAGGATTTTGGCTCCCCAAAATCTTCTCCAATTGTAACTTCTCATCCTCAATCATCGAGCGTATGAAGTGGTATCGTAACTCGATGTGCTTCGTTCTGACATGAAATACTAGGTTCTTGGCAAGGTGTATAGCACTCTGGTTATCACAATAAAGAACTTCATTCACCCGTTTCAGGCCCAACTCTTCCAGGCATTCGGTTAACCAAATCATCTTCTTGCTCGCCTCGGTCACTGCGACATGCTCTGCCTCAGTTGTGGACAATGTCACAATCTTCTACAAATGTGAGACCCAGCTCACTGCTGTCGACCCTAAGGTATAAACATACCTCATGGTGCTTCGCCTTGTATCATGATCACTGGCAAAATCTGCATCCATGTATCCCTGGAATACCAACTTCTTTCTCTCGAAACACAGTGGCATATTCGTAGTCCCTCTCAGATATCGCAATATTCACTTCACGGCCTCCCAATGCTGCTTCCCTGGGTTGCTTGCAAACCTGCTCACAACTCCCACTACATGAGCAATATCCGATCTCGTGTAAACTATTGCGTACATCAGACTACTAATGGCTGATGAATAAGGTACCTTCCTCATGTGCTCCTTCTCTGCATCAGTCTTAGGTGATTGCTTACCAGATAACTTGAACTGGCTTCCAAGGGGCGTGCTAACGACCTTAGCATTCTGCATGTTGAATCTATGAAGTACTTTCTTAATGTATTCAGACTGACTCAACTTAAACATCCCCTCAGCCGCATCCCAGCTGATCCGCATCCTAAGAATCTGCTTCGCAGCACCGAGATCCTTCATGGCAAACTCCTTTGCTAACTGCTTCTTCAGCTTGTTTATCTCCTGTAAACACGGTCCTGCAACTAACATGTCATCAACATACAACAATACCACGATATAGCTAGACTCGAACCTCTTAAAGTAACAGCAATGATCTGAATTGCATCTGCCATAATCATTACTTTGCATGAAGTTATCGAACTTCTTATACCACTGTCTTGGGGCCTGTTTCAATCCGTATAAGCTCTTCTTGAGCCTACACACCATCTCTTCCTTTTCTTCCTCAATAAAGCCAACATGTTGCTTCATATAGATTTCTTTATCCAAGTCGCCATGAAGAAATGTAGTCTTCACATCTAACTATTCAAGGTAGAGATTTTCAGACTAAACTAAACACCACCCTGATGGTTGTGAGCTTCACAACGGGAGAAAATATCTCCGTATAATCCACTCATTTCTGCTGTTGGAACCCCTTCATGACTAATCTGGCCTTGTATCTCTTCCTTCCATCACTCTCCTGCTTGACCCGGTAAACCCACTTATTATGTAGGACCTTCTTCTGTGCAGGTAGCTGCGCTAACTCTCATGTCTCGTTCAAGTGGAGAGAACGCATTTCTTCTTGCATTGCATGCTCCCACTGCTGAGATTTGCTCACTTGCATAGCCTCCTCATAGCATTCTGGTTCTCCGCTATATGTCAAAAGTAGGTAGTCAAGTGACGAGAGATATTTGGGATTCGGTTTGGGTACCATGGATGACCTCCTAAGCTCCTCACCCTGGGTAGTCGGTTCTACACCTGGAGTCTCCTTCGTTCTTTGGTCAGAATTGATATTGTCTCCCCCATCTGAAAGTTCTTCCAAATCCATATACTCGAATGCACCCGCATCCGTAGTGCTGCTCCCATTGCTTTGGTCCGCCTTGGCATTGTCTCTGTCATTGTACATCACTTTCTCATTGAATATGACGTCTCGGCTTCTGATGATCTTCCTGTTCTTCTCATCCCAAAGACGATAGCCGAACTCATCAATACCGTACCCAATAAATATACACTTCAGTTACTTTGCTTCCAGCTTGTCCCTGACATGATCACAGATATGGACATATGCCACATAACCAAAGACTCTCAAGTGTGAGAGATTAACTTTCTTACCACTCCAAACCTCTTCCGGAATCCCAATGTCCAATGGAACTGATGGCCCGTGATTTATCAAGTATGCTGCTGTATGCACTACGTCCGCCCAAAAAGTTTTTGGTAGACCTGCATGTAGATGCATGCTCCTCGCACGCTCTGTGTAATAATCCAAATAAAGATATATAAAAAATAATAAAATAAAATAAAATAAATAAATAAATAAAATAATAATAATCTCCCAACCATATATAAAGGGGAGGAAAGGGGAGAAATTCAGGTTAAAAGAAAAAAAAAGAGAGAAGAAGAAGAAGAAGAGGAAGAAGTTAGGGAAAGTGGAAAATCATCCCAATGTATAATCTTCTTTTAAATTTCATGATAAATCTTAGTAAATTGAATCAAAATAATGAGTGAGGAAGTTAACTAGTAATTGATATGAAGTCAAAAAATCTAGGATTTGCAAAGGATTTTATTTTGTGTTTAAGATGCATGAAACAAACTGAAAAAAAAAAGAGAAAGAAAGAGAAAATAAACTAACCCTAGATCCGGCAAGGACCTCATCGTCGGCCGCTCTTGGTCACCGGCGGTTTCCTCATCGAGAGAGAAGAGGAGGAGAGAGAGAGAGAGAGAGGAAGAAGAGAGAGAGAGAGAGAGAGAGAAGAGAATATTAAAGGAAGAGAGGGGCGGAAGAGAGAAAGAGAGGAAGAGAGATGCCTCAACCGGAAAAAAAAAGGGGAGAAAAGAGGAACGGAAAAAAAAAAGAAAGAAAGAAAGAAAAGAAACGAAGAAGAAGGGGGGGGAGGAAGATGATCAGGGAATTAATATTAAAGGAAGAAATTTTATAAAAAGACCCTTAGTTATTTTTGACTTTGCTTATAAAACCCTCTTGAGTGGAGAATATAAATTTGTGACCTAAGAATTCATTCTAAGTCCCTAAAAGCCACAAAATTTTGTAAGTAAACCCTAACAGAGAAAGCTAAAATCATATATGAATAGAATAATTACATATAGACCCTTGTCTTATCATAAATTATTAGGAAATCCATAAGCTAGTATATGAGAGTTATAAAATTTTGATAAATTGCTAAAGATAGCAATAAGCTCATATGTACTGTAGAATTTAATCATTATTGATTATATCTGAATTTATTAGACTCTAGATTATGAATTGATTTACCTATAATATATGTTTGTTCTGAATTAATAATTAGTCATATATCTTACATTATAGGATTTGGTTGATATCAAGTGGACTAATATTTTTGGATAATCGTGTTCACCAGAGGTGAGTTCATTTCTCACTAGTATTTTATAATATAAAATTGCACGAGTATTATATTTGATTTATCTTGTGATCAAAAAATAAATAATATGTTATTTTCATGTATATAAAGATTTGACCTATTTCTGTTGTGATCTATCCTATAATATGATGTTAGCCTCGTATAATATATGAAAAACAAATTTGATTTCTATATAAAATATGAAAAATGTATTTGGCTCTCGTGTAATTTTTAAATAATTATGGGCATTGTTTTATCTGAAAGTTTTTGATGAAGTATTTGGAATATATTTCAACAGTTTAACGGATTCAAAGATTTTTTGTGACTTAGTATCTGATAAAAGAAAAAAAATAAATATCCATAAACTTGGTAAAGTTGGATGAAGCTTGTAATTGGATCTTTAACTTGATAGCAAGGCTTCACTCTACTATTCCGCCAACCTCCATTTGATATGATCGTTATGGCATAATTTCATCCAACCTCCAACATATTGTTTGTCTACAACAACTACAAAACTACAAACACTAGACAAATAATATTACTTATAAATTGTTTGTAAATCATTATCAAAACAAGAAGGCCAACAGGATTTTCCATGAAGAAATAGGCTGAATTCACAACAAACCGGTATAACCGCTACTAGGGTAATGGCATCAGGCTGAAGTTCATACACTGATTGCATCTGGAAGAAAAGTGTAAAAGACCTTCATCTGTCCTTCCATTCTCTATTAAGAACTTGATCATAGAATTCCATGAAATTATATTCTTTAGACCACATCCTTTAACCACTTTCTTCGCTTCTTCTACTTGTCCACAAGATGAATAGAATGAAATAAACAGAAGAATGCA